CTTAAACGTGTGCGCACGCTTAGCGTTCACATGTAATTGGACCTTCTGCACGGCTGCCAGGTCGGCAAGGAGGTTGCCTCTGACCTCATCCGTGCGAATTCAATTTAAATTCGATCTGCAGATGTGCTTTCACAGCAGGAGGGGGAGGGGGCAGGGCAGTCAGTTTTTCTCGCAGTCTCGCTGAGTACGGGCGAAGGAGACCTCAGCTGCGAGCCCACCCCACCTTCTTCTTCTTCGGGTCAAGGGCGTAAACAGCACGTTGTGCATTGTGGCCACCGGTGCTTATTCAGTTCTTTTACTGCGCTGCCCAGCATGAGGAATAGACACCGGGCTTTATTTTGGATTTCTACATGCGAAAGTTCAAATTGGATTTCAAATACGCAACCGGCTCATACAATTATAAATAACTAAGTTTTATATTTGAGGCCCGCAGTGCCCCGTCGTAACACAATTAGTTCTGTAGTAAAATAAAGACAGCAGTTAACGATGTTTGGAAAATATGGTGAACTTAGAAAGAAGGAGTGACAACAACTCCCACAATGAAATCATGGACAGATCTCAGCGAGCCCCCACTTTCAAACAGACTGTGGGAGATATAAGATGGTTCTAGAATATATTGATTGAGTTTACACGATACAGGGTGATACGACGGTGCTGTGGTTGAGAACGAGTGAGGGACTGAAACGCTCGTAGTCGTGGGAGAAGGCATATAACAACAAGGGCTTCTATTTATTACCGTATCGGCGTACGATTGGCTACAGTATTAACTATCAGGGAGGCGAGTCAGCGAGACGCTCATCGCAGACATCGTCAATACGCTTAGAATCTAAACGAAAAGGCGACGGTAGAGGTCACGAGATAATCACCGAAACGTCGAAGATGTGATCTGTCGGACTGCACAATTCCACCGACAATGCAGCGAAAACAGACGAACCCACCACGATCATCAACAGAGACCGCGATGACCATCGTCTGAGCATGAAGATTCATGTTCAACTGAGGAAGCTATCGTCAGCGTTGCCAAACAAATGAACTCATCAGGGCCGTCAACAATTCGCAATGATGGTTAACAAGAGGACAAGTTGAAAAACGGCTCTGAAGGTTAATTCTGCAGACGATAATATTCTACGCCCTGAAGGTTGGTTCTGTGGGAACATCTTTTTTCCATGTTATTAATTCGGAGAACATTTTCTAATTAAACTGTTTTTGCTCCGACGTGAAGCAGTTTTCCACCGTCGTAGAACACTTCTTTCAGTTTTTACTGTTACCCAGCATGACGAGTAGACATGGGGCCATTTTTGGATTTCTACATGCGAACGTTCAATTTGGAGTTCAAGTCCGCGACCAGTCTATAAAAGTCGGATGATATTTTAAACCCTAAATATCATTTCGCTAGCATATTTGTTTAATTAAGGAGGTTTTCCAAAAACCAATGAATGGACATTCAGCGTTTCCCACGCAAATTTCTTATAGGGATAGGAGTTTTTACGGTCTTCTTACGTGCCTACTAGTCCTAGCAGGTAGTTCTTCTATAACCTGTATCAACATAGCTTTCGATAATGTTTTACCCTTGGTAAAAACGCATCTACCGACTTGGACACCATGCCATCTCCTAATCAGGTTTTTCAAAGACTTGGCATAATTTTCGGACAACGACTTATAAGAGAATTACGATAACGGTAAAATGACGTAATTGTAGGTAATATATGCATCAGGGGTATCGGCAAAGACAGGGGAAGTGGAATCGCAACTATGGCTTATTCGCCGTCGTCAGCCAGCCAGATCTGTAAACCCTGAGATTTAAGCCCGTCTTCCTTAAATATTGCGCGTTTTTGAAGTTCACCGCTCTAGTAGTGAGCCACAAACTCTGTTCTAACGTAGCTGTCAACAAGGGTCAAAAGATAAGATCCACATTTTCCTTTCGTTTACTTTCGTGCGAAAATAACTACTGCCAGGACAGCGTAGCATTTGTCGCCCCTTTAAGAAAAGTTAGAGTCCACGGGGTGCTCAGGGGAGACCATAAAGCGATTATCTCAAGTTTTATTATCCTATGGACCTCTGGCAGTAAACATAAAAATCGGCCGAACGAGGCCTCAGCTGCGAGTCAACCTTTCGCCTTCTTTTTTCAGTGCAGTTTTATCAGGGAAATATAGGTAAATACCTTTGAACTCCCTCTTTGTACA